TTTTTTTTTTTTTTTTTTTTTTCTTTCTTCCCACGTTCGAATATAATATCACACTGAGCCGGCTGTGTACTGTTTTGCGAGTGTGTGTCCATCGTTTTCTTTCTTCGTCTTCGTTCTTCCTCGCGAAGAAGAGAATGAAGGCCTGGCGGTCCGCGGGCCCCAATGCTTTCGTCACGCGTTCAACGAGGATGCGCCGAGGAGGAGAAGGAGGAGGAGAAGGAGGACTTTCATCCGCGAATCGGCGACCCACTCTCGCCGTATCGGCCGCGAACATAGAAAGTTCGAATTGGGACACTGTCTCGGTTCTCGGGGGCTTCCTCTCGGTCTCGATACGTCTCGACGCGTATTTATGGGACACCTGTGGCGCTCGACGTCCCTCGGTCCTGGCTAGTAGCATTTCCGGGTGCACGTGCATTTGCGCACCAGATCGACGTCCTTCGTGTACCGCATACCGTCGGCGCAGATCAGTCGAACCTGCGGATTGACGTCAGTCTTCGTTTAACTTAGAGTCAGAGAAGGGCGAAGATATAGACACGTCATGCACGTATGGTTGTTGGCCGGCAACTTCTCTGCATCGCTCAAAGTCGTTCGACTTTCGCGTGCGTCTGACAACCGAGGCAAAGGTTACCACCGCTGACGATAAGTGAAACGCGTAATGAATTCGTACGTACCTTGCGCCGTTTCGTCTTCCGTGGCAAACAACAAGAGTTGCCACAACTACCCCAACACTTGGCAAGTTTCACTGGTCGTCGACTCCGACATCCGTTCTCGCTGTAATACTCTCTGGTGTGCTCTTTGCGACACGTCGGTGCTGCAACAACAGACGCGTTTACATCCAATTCTATTTTTTCCTCGTCTCTTTTGTTTTATTTCCGAACGAACTCTCTCGATGCTCGTTCCGACGAAATTGGAAATTCTCGAGAGAAAAAAAAAAAAAAAAAAGAAAAAGAATTCTCGGGCAAACTCGCGCGGAGCGCCTACCTTTCTCGCAATACCGTCCTTGCCATCCAGTTTGACACCGGCAGGTATATCCGTTCCCGATCGGCGATGGCACGCACTGCGAACCCTTCCTGCACTCGTGTCCCGCGCAGGGATCGGAGATTATCGCGCCGGGTCCTGTCATAACGATGTCTGCAACACGGAATTGCAATATTAATACGTCGGATTCCGCGTAAAGGAATTCGTGGGGTGAGGAAACCTCGTTGCTCGGAATTTTGTTCCCGCTGCGTGCCCAATGCGATTGTCGCAGCGAAGAAAGGCTTCAGATTGTTTGTTTTAGTCGTCCAAGTTTTATGAGAATACATGAGCAAAGACGAAAGTTTTGAGAGTAAGATTTCGAGTAAAAGAGTAGTCATATGCCTTGTGGACTCATATAAATGTAAAATAAAGTATCAGTCAGTTTTTAAAACCTTAAACTTACGTCTTCTGTTGGACCACTCTTGTCGGGTTTTTTTTTTTTTTTTGAAACTCGACCAGATTTTTATCGTGAGCATCGTGAGTATCATGAGTTGTGGTAGAGTGCAGGTATAGTGACAACTTCGATTCTCTTTTTATCGTCTATTATAATCGCCGTATTTGGATCTACTCAGTTTTTCTTTTAACTACTTAAATATTAATAAACTATTTATTATAATATTTATTATTATTAATATAAATATTAATATAAATATAATATAATAAATATAAATATAAATATAATATAAATTTTAATATAAATATTATATATTTATTATATATTACTATTATAAATATTTAATATTTATTATAAACCACGTGATGGATTAAATTTGTGGTGTTTTTCCTACAGGAATGAACACTTGTAGTTTCTAAAGAATTTTATTCCACGTTACAATGTCTCTAAACTTGATGAAAAAGAGCTACTTTCTCCCTCCTCCCGACGAAGAAAAATCGAATGGAAGGAGAAAGTAGCGTAAATGACCAAATATAAAAAAACAAGTGATTTGGACTTTACAAGGATTATCATTGACTCAGTGTTAGCATCGAGCCAATATTGTCGGGATGTTCCGATCCAACATGGAATGGAAATTTCACGTAACATACTGTCAAGTCAAATATCAAACTGATGAGCAAGGTGTAAAAGGCGGTCGAACTGTACCGGAATGTTCGTGAGCCATGTTCTCTTGTGGTATCGGTTCCTCGTTGCTGCCGCTTCCCATAATTCCTTCCGCTTCCACAACGTCTCGCGCCTCGTCAGCCTCTTCCTCGTTCGAGGTGCATCCGGGAGTTACGCGATGCATCTTGGCGGCGTTGCTGAAGTCTACCAACTTGTGATTGATCCACATCTCGGTGATGCAGCCTGCAAGTTTCGGCAAGGGGAACTCGTTACACCGCTAGTCAATTTTAACATTCTGGTTGCGGGAATTGTCAGAAACTGGAAATCCCGGCGTGTCGAACAACAAGTTGAACAACAATGGGATTGTTGAGGACACAGGCGGCCGTCGGTGTCGATTGTGTACCTTTGTGTGTATTACTTGGTGTCGAAGGGCCGTCCACTGTTGTGAACAACTCTGGTTTGACTTGGTTTATCTTTATTGTGCAACAAGTCTACTCGATTCAGAAAGCCTGGCTTGTTTGAGTGACCAACCTACCGACTGAATTCGAAAGATACACTTGCAACACACCGAAGTGTGAATCATTGATTTTGATGACATTTGGCATAATATTTGATCTGTATTTCCTTTTGTGAAGAATAATGACTAAACTGAACCTGAATAAATGACCAACGTCTGAAAGTTAGTTTCTTGATTCGATTGGAAAATTTTATTAAACTCATCACACGATGTGATGGAGTTAGTTGGTTACTGGATAATTAAGACTCGCTCACTGTGATAACTACTATGTAATAAACACAAATGTTTGGAAATTTTTAATTTGACACGCTGAGTTTGGAATGGCATCCTCTTGGCTGTGAATGACTGTACTCATTATAAAGAAATGCAAGTTTTTTTGTTTTTACCCGTAACGCGAGAAAAATTGTTACTTAAATCAAATTTTCTGTGGAAAATGAAAGATATTTGTAAATCTTAGACATTTTGGAATATCTTGAGACTAGACCTGATACTATATATATATTTTCTTGCTATCAATATTAATCAAGTTAAACGATAAAACCATTGATTTCTCAAATAAAAATTTACTGTCATTTCCTCATAATTTAATTCAATTTTACAACAACTGCACGTACTCCGTGCTTTATAACGAATATAATCGCGTCTCGCACTCGTGTAGATGTACACTTTTAAAAACGGCAGAGTCAAGGGGTTAATGGGAAACATATTTTTACCTTGGAAGCTAGTGATGTTCCTCAGATGAAATTCCGTGAACGCAATGTTGGCAACTTCGGGAGCGACGCCGCCGACGTACATAGACGTGACGAGTTTCAGGTACTCCTTCGGACCCTCGTTAATGATGCTTCTAGCAGGACCGCGGTCGACCCTCATCGTGAAGTTCTTCTTGATCGCGAGCAGCTCAGCCACGTGGGGTTTGCCATCGGCGACCATCTCGTAACTGTACATCGTCGAGGTTGGGTAGTTGCCAACGTCGTACGAGACTCTGACACGGCCGTTGAACAACTCGACGGCGATATGGTCGCCGTTCTGGCCGTCGTAGAGGAGAACCCCGTTTTCCTGCGTGGTCGTGAAGACGATGGTCACGTTCGCTTCGGGCCTCGTGCGTAGCGGCTCCAGCTCGACCAGCGAGCTGTTGTCCACGAAGCTCAAACTCGTCAGGTACTCGCATCGTTTTCCTTTAACCAGGTTCATCAGGATCTTTGGTCAGCTACCTTTCTACAACTGTGCGCTGGCCACGTATTCGCGCGTTTTGTACAATCGGATTTTTCACCGAGCATTTTCGGATTGTTCTTTCTCTGCATTTTTGACGGAATTGAAGAAGAAATGCAGGCAACGTTTGTTAAATTAGCATTGTTCGTTTCTTGATTAAATTTCTAGAGGTTCAGTTTTAAAATAAATGTGCGAAAACCAGTAAGTCTATGTGAAATTTGCGTCTTGGGAAGTTAGCTTGAGAAAACGTAAATTTAGAGATCAAAGATGGCTAATTGGCGGCCCTTGCCCCTACTTTCCTAGCGCTATCTCCCCACTCCTCTGCATCGATATCCCCCCACTGCGTCGCGGCCGCGGTACTCACATTAGCTACATACATGTACATATAAATTATTTTCTTTACCTAGTAAACTACTCAAGCAGTTTGTATGGCTTGCTGTGAAACAGAATGGGAACTAATTTCCATGGTGGGGGAATGTTAAGATCGCGTCACGTCGAAAAACGTAGTCGGTAGATGAAACTACTCTGCCGGCTGAATGCACTGTGAATCAGTGGTTGAAAAATGACTCTTTTGAACTCCCTCTATTTGGAATTCATTGACGGAGTGGACGAAGATATATTTCTCGGTGAAACGAGAATCGACTTACCGGTGTAGCCGGGGTGGCACTGGCAAAGATAGTCCGCGGCGGAAGCGGGAGCAGGTTGGAAGCACGCACCGTGCTGACAGTCATGGTGTGCACACGGACTGGTCTGTGGATAGAGCATGGCTGTCGAGGGTGCTGCCTCGCAGTACCTGCCCGTATATTCCGCCGCGCACTTGCACTCGTAATTGTTTATGCCGTCGATGCAAGTAGCACCGTTCTGAAAAATAGAAGAAGAAAAAAAAAAATGAAATTAGAAAGGTAGATGGATCGATTCGAAGATAGAACCGATTGGACGAGAAGACATACCTGGCACATATGATCAACGCAGTCATCCAAGTTGGTGGAACAATTGAAGCCGGTGAAGCCGATTGGGCATTCGCAGCTATAGTGGGTCCCGTGGTCGACGCATCGACCCCCGTTCTCGCAGGGGTCGTGCCCTTTTGTGCAAAAGGGTATCTTCTCCTCGCAGTACTCGCCCATGAATCCTGGGGTGCAGTCGCATCTGTAGGCTTGGACGAGGTCGACGCAGGTTGCGTTATTCGCGCACTTGTTGTCCTCGCAGTCGTCGACGTTGTTCTCGCATCGAAGTCCCTTGTACCCGGGGGCGCAGTCGCAACTGTCACACACCGACTGATCGTCAATCGAGACATTGACCATGATCTTCGATCGCGGTATATCCGCCAATTGATTTAGTTACACGTAACCGATTCATCGACTATTCATCCTTGTTCTCTTCTCTCGAACGTTTAGAAAAATTTCCTTTTCAGTCGTAATTCTACTTTTCGTTTACTTTTTGTCCTGTGTTCATTTAGTATTTCGTAGGAAGGAAAAAAGAATTGTAATACTGATTACTTGTACCTGATTTTGTCGTGATATTTTTGTATAATGAACAAGGCCAAATCGAGATTGCTCTCGAGGAAAGAAACGCTGTATTATAAGCGCTTCGTCGATAGATCGTTACGTGTACCTGCTACTCTTCGGGGCTCACGTGCAGAGGTCCCGTTTTATTTATTCATACAACAGTGCACGCTTTTTTGCACGTGCAATTTACTGCTACTGAAACTACATTTCATACTCTACTTGTACGTTAAACAGCGTTTTTACAATGCAAATACACTTGCCTCGTGAATTTTCTGTTTCTCCACGTTTTTCTCTCTTTTTTTTTTTTTTTGCTGGAGGGAATATTAAGTCTTTCCTCGCATGTTTACGAATTCTTCAAAAAAAGAAAGGAAAAAAAAGACGTAAAAAGGAAGAGGGAAATATGAAATCCGACAGACGGACTCGCAAATCATCGACTCTTACTACTAGACAGTGAGATACATTACAGCCAAATTATAGGTTTTTCTTTTCTCATCGAACAAATGCCAATTTCAACTTTCGCCACGATCAATGCAATACTCTACACGATAGATACTCAAAGCTGTTGTCTCGCCAAATAAGTAAATACATCGGTACGTTTTCGTGCACGTCTACTCAATTTTTGACCAACACTACTGCCTCCCGCGTCCGCGGAAGGTAGCCATCAGACAGAGCTACAGCAAATGCACACACGATGTTCGAACATCGTGATTCCGTGTCTGCAGTAAAATTCCAATCGCAACGTCCCGCGTCTCTCTTTTGTCGTAATTTATATATATATATATATATATATATATATATATATATATATATATACATATATTATATTATATTATCTATATATTATTATTTATATAATAATATATTTATCTACATGTATCTGTATACATTATTATTTATATAATAATATCTATATGTATCTATATATATTATTATTTATATAATAATATATTTATTTACATATATCTGTATACATTATTATTTATATAATAATATATTTATATTATATCTACATGTATCTCTATATATTATTATTTATATAATAATATATTTATATTATATCTACATGTATCTATATATATTATTATTTATATAATAATATATTTATCTACATGTATCTGTATACATTATCATTTAAATAATAATATATTTATCTACATATATCTGTATACATTATTATTTATATAATAATATATTTGTATATAATTGATATAAATCAACGATTAAAGATCGCTTTAGAAATTCAAGATTCGTTGAAAGAACAGAGAAGAAAGAAAGAAAGAAAGAAAGAAAGAAAGAAAGAAAGAAAGAAAGAAGGGGGAAGACTTTGTGGCGCGATTGGAATTCGTGGACAGACACTGATTCTACGGGCACCACTGAACGAGCACATAGAGATCAGACCCGAACGAGCTTGCCAGAAAGTTCTCTACTGGTAGATTAGTCAAGACGCTTGATACCTGAATCTTCCTTCTTCCAATACTTTACAAGTTCCGGCGTTCCGGCAAGGATTTCCATAGCACGCGTCAATTTTATGTTCACACCGGTCCCCATGATATCCTGGCGCGCACTTGCAACGGAACTTCCGGTCCGGGAGCGCCTCGCAAAATCCTCCGTTCTGGCATGGCGAGGTGTAGCACAGGTCGCACTTGGCCAAGACTTCGGCTGGCTGTTGGCTGGCTGCGCGGAAGAAAGGTCTACGATTAATGAGCAATTTTAGTACCCCATTGTGACAACGGGCCAAAAAACCATGAACTAAACAGACTGCGTCACGGGCCAGTGAGAAATCAAAAACATCTGCACGTGCGGAACATCCATCGATCGTTGAGCGACACCGGCCAGCGATTTACAGAGACATTTCTGCCTGACAATGAGAAATCGAAATTCCTGAACGACGCGTTACAACGGGGATGGCCAACCGTGGGCATTTCATGATTTCTGGTGGTGCATAGAGCACATTGTTTTGATTGATAAATGAAAAGAATAACACAAGATATAATGATATTGAAGTCAGCGCGACTATTTGTTAGAATTTAGTTGGTCAATTTCCCTTAGTTTTTTAAAAATAAAACTGTTCCAATGTAATGTTGACTTGATGAAATTTGCTTTCTTATACGTTTATTACTTATAAACACGTTTTCGTTGTTGAAGTAATTTAAGCTCATTTCAGAAAAAATTGGCACGTGCAAAAGTTTGGCCACTCCTGTTATAATATACGTAATTGTATTTTTAACGCAAGCAAAAAGAAATTTCTGTCAACTTCAATACCGAACATTTATTTATTACAGAGAGAACAAATGACAAAAAGGAAACAGTTTCGGTTAGAAATTTACTTTCACATTTTTCAATCAGAATTTGATTGTGGTTTCATTCTTTGGTTTTTCGGAAGCTTCGTTCCAAAAAACTAAAATACACTCGTCTCTCCATTTATGCGATACTTTTTAAACCAATTCACGTAATTTGAATTTACATTGTAGCCAGAAAATACAGTGTAGATAGAAAATATACTATGCATCGATCGATCAACAAGTCTTAAAATTTCAGCGACACTTAAAAAAAACGTTGCAGCAAATTCATGAAACCTTGGCAAACGATAAGTTTGAAAACAAATTGTCCAAAACAACTGACCATTAACAATGAAAATGAAGCCGAGCTTGCAAATATTTCAAGCGACAAGGGTAATGAAGGGGTTGACTGTTTTGAATTACAGTGTACATCGAATAAAATTTACTTTTGCTTTCTGAAATAAAATCATCATTTATTATTTTTCTTCTTTAATCCACGTGAAGTAAATACGCTTCTCCTTACAATATTTTCTTTTCTATCGTACTGGATTTTCATTCGCGTAAAACGAGCCCGTTTACACGCGGAGGGAAATGAAATCGTTCAAACAAATTTCCTCTGATTTTCTCTGTTCGATTTTGTCGCTCGCGTCGTTCACTCGCTTCGATTCCCCAGCCCTATCTTTACCAGCAAGATAATTCAATAACTTTGAACACGATGAACAGATCGAACCTTTGAGACTTCGACTCACTCGAGAGATATATCTCTCAGATCGGTGTTATCGAGCTGTCGAGCCACACATTGGATAGGTATTCTCGCAAAGTCAGCGAGTGGTAGAATCCGTACTGGAATCAATTGACTGGTCAGCAACAGCTGGCCGCTCTCGCCACGATCGCGATAACTGTCGAGGAAATACATACTTTTGCATTGGAACGCGGTCGCAGGTGTCGTGAGCAGCAGCTTGTCCCTCATCGCCGGGGGCTCCATGCATCTCGCGATGCCTGCCTCCACGTAGTCCTTCTTCACCCATTCGGCCAACCATCGCATGCTGCAGTCGCAGTAGAGCGGGTTAGACCCCAGAGCGCTGTAAACACACACACACACACACACACATACATACCAGTGGTTGGTGAATTATCGACACCAGTGGAAACCAGTGCGTTTTAGCGAGAGAGGGTACTCACAGGTGGGTTATAGATTGAAGATCCTCGAACGCGCCCTCGGGGATCACCGATATGTCGTTACCGTGCAGGGACCTGGCGGGTGTAAATCCAGATTTTAAACGATCGTTACTGGAGAAGTCCCGGATTGGAGAATTTCAAGAAACAAGTCGAAGTTAGTCGATAAAATAAAAAAAATCGACAACGACCTGCTACTCGATGATTTTGCATTGAACGTTGTTGGAATTTCAAACCGTTCAAACGCCGAGGCGAAGGAAGTTTTTTAATTGTGCTGCCGCCGGCGTGAAAATTAATGTCCGCGTTCGTATATATGTATCACGGTGGAACGCGATATTATACTGTAACAATGGAACACTGTGACAATGACGTAGTACAAAGGATATTCGTGTAATCTTGATAGAGGATTAAGATTAGTTGCCTCGTGTTCATTATCAACGCGACACTCACGGTGAAAATTTTAATATAAATTTAACGAGGAGTTAGATTTCTGAAACTGTCCAGCGGACAAAAGCGATCCTATAAATAACGCACTTTTGCCCTCTGGAGCTGAAAATTAAAGAAATTCACACCGACGGAGCTATGTACGTATGCATGTACATGTATGTGTTCCTGTATGTCCCGTGCTACGGCTAGCTCTTTAAACAAACGATGCTGTTATTAATCAGCGAGATCGACGTTATCACGTAACAACGCCGTAGAGTTTCTATCAATATTCGAGCAATTATTTGCAAATATGAAGCGAGATACAGAATACCGCTCCGAATTCGCTCATCTCGAATGAATTTCGTAATATCGGCACCGGGTAAGCGTAAATCGCTCTGTTCATAACTTTGCGTACACGCGGATGATTTAACGAATTAATTATAATAATTACAGCCATAAAGAACAATCGTTCCTCAAATTGCCCGCATCAAGAAATTAATAACGCAATCAGCGGAATAAACGCGCCGGCGATAAATCAGCCGAGCCGATTTTGATCGATAAAATGGCACGCTCTCGCCCGCGTTAATTTACCACCGATATTGTCGCTTTTATTTATTCCATTATCGAAATTTAATGTATATACCCCGTTTCCAATTGTTCCCCTCCCCAATTTCCACGCGTACTCGCGCGAGACTCACAAAGAACCGAAAGCATACTGAAAGCTGCGGTATTCCGTCCAGAAAATGGTACTTTCGCGAGAAAAATGGTTGCTCTTTCGCCACTGTGTTCGCGATTTTCGCCACCCCCCCCCCCCCGCCTCCCCACCTTTTATCGCGTGATTTCGATGTAATTCCTTCCTCGTGATTTATGAAACGCGACTCGAAATGTTCGAACACGTATGAAAGGAAGGTATGAATCAACGCAATTGTGCTCGCCGGAACAGAACAGAAATTATGCAGTTCGAGACTCACATTATCCGCAGCGATTTCAAGCCGGCCAGGGCGTTCCGTTGGACACACTGCAGCTTATTGTAGCTGATAATTCTGAAAATTCATCCGGTCATCCGTTATTTTTTTTCTTTCTTTCCTTGGTTGACAACGCGTTTGATCGAGAATTTGTCTCTCGCTCGCTCGTGGTTTCATTTCGCGATCGAATCGAAATGGAAAATCGAAAGTAAAAGTGCCGACACTTACAGATGGGACAACTTGGTGAGATTCCTGAAGGTGTCGTTCGACAGCATCCCGATCTGATTGTTGCTCAGGTCTCTGAAAAGCAAAACGAGAGTAACGAGAGTTTCAAGTTTTTCTTGTTCTTTTTTTCTTTTTTTCTTTTCTTTTCTTTTCTTTTCTTTTCTTTTCTTTTCTTTTCTTTTCTTTCGTTCTGAATCTCGGTAACGCTACGAGAGGTCACACGCGTATTTTATTTACAGTCTAGTGAGAATCCTCAGGTGGTTCAGTCTCTCGGGCTGGATCGTCTTGATGTCGTTCACGTCCAAATACAACTCGGTGGTTTCCGGCGGAATCCCACGTGGAATCTCCGTAAGCTGAGACCTCGAACATCTCACCACTGACCCGGCGCAATTACATTGAGGTGGACAGTAATCGTCTCCTAGGCAACCCACGCTGTCGTCTGCGGGTTCGTAAAACAGACGGCGGATCGTTAATCTCGCGATCGATTCGAGCAATCGGAGATTAAGAATTAAATTAAAAATATCGTACGATGTACCGACAGTTTATAACCTTCGTTTCTCTTTTCTTCGATTGATTCATCGTGTGATTTATAGGTCTGTTAAATTTCTCTCTTCCCTTTGGCTACGGCAGACTTTACACGTAGACATTATAGTAGAAGTTGAAGAACGAGAACGACGCGCGCATTTCTCAGAATATCGAAATGATCGAAACATTGAATTGCATTTCATTCGACCAATATTATTTACTTATTCGTATTATTTACTTACTCTGTGTTGGTGCACGTATTACTCTTTAAGCTTCATTTCGAAATCTAATAATCTAGTAAAGTATGGTACAAAACATAATCCTACATTACACTTTTGTGTTCGTAATACGACTCCCTTCTTTCCTTATGTTTTCTACACATTACACATTCGCGCCTTTTTGTAATTAATTCATCACTTTTTCATTTTGACGATATTAAATAAAATAATTGTAAAAAAATCATGTTTAAATAACACGTGACTCACGGAAGATGTAATTGCTGGATTAAAATTCATTCGCGTCCGATCCGAGTGAGGTTTGCTGCAATTATCGTGGATGATTTTTACCAGCCGTCTATAGTTCGATTCAAGGAACGCGAAGTGAGCCAACAGTATCTCGATAGCAAATTTTAAAAGCACTTCTAGGCGCCAACTAGTAGCCAAAGGGTTAAAGATTTAAGTTTTTGCGAAAAAAAAGAAAAAAATACAAAAAGATCTTACTGTTGCACTTGAACTCGTGATGTGGTATATCTTTGACGACCGCGTCCTTCAATCGGGGAGGATCGTGACAGTGTCCGACGACGCCAGACATGTCGCGTTTCCTCAGCCATCCGGCGAACCACGCGAGATGACAATTACACGACAAAGGATTGCCTTGCATGTTGCTGAAAATGCCAAGCGATTTATTAGACCGGTGAATGTGAATTATGGAAAGGGAGGCACGTTTATCAGACGAGGCAGGAGGGGGCGAAGTGGACGGCGAAACTTTGTATCGAAAACGCGCGCAGACGTGCAATAATTAATGAATCTCGTATCTCGTATTAATACCGATGAACCGTAATTCATATAATCGCGATATTAATCTGATTGAAACGTTCACGTTTCCGATCGCAGTGTGGCGAGTGGGTCTCGTTTCAGGAAAAGTCGGCACGTTAACGAATCGTACTTACGCCCGTTGTTGTATTTAAGCAATTAACGACAAATTCATTTACACGAACGTACAGGATAGCACATGCTATCGGTCCAACATTTATTACGTCGTGATTAATAATGCACAATTGTCGATTAAAACCTCGTCGAACTGATATTCTTCGAATTGATATTTAACACGTAACACGTGTCGATGTTTTTCCTCCGAGGAGGGGAAACAAAAGTCGACAAACCCTTTCGCGTCGGTCGAAGATCGATCTCACGTGGAAAAAAAAAAAAAAAAAGAAAAGGAGGAAATAAAAGGAGAGTAGAGCGACGAGGCTAGTAAAAGCCTCGGGTCGTTTCGAGGTATACTTACATGGTGCGTATGTGCGTCAATCCGTCGAACGAGCCGTGCATAACGCAGGTTATGGCGTTCCCGTGCAGGTTCCTGTGTGAAAATAATGTTCGACGAGGGTTATACAGTATCGCTCGAGGGGGGGAGGGGGAGTGATACCGTTTTATGCGAGGAGACATAAAAGTTTCTACTCACAGGGTCTTAAGATTCGTCAGGCCGGTGAACATCTTGTTGTGAACTTCCCTCAGCCTGTTCTCCGACAAGAGTCTGCGAAACGAGGGCTCGTTATTGCACGCGGACAAGCACGCGCGGTCTACGAAATATTAAAAAGAAAGAGAGAAAGAGAAAGAGAGAGAGAGAGAGAGAGAGAGAGGGTTCTCTTTACGCGTCGATGGGAATCGATGCTCGTGCGCATCGTCGCACCCTTGAAACTATGGAAAATTCGCGCGGGAATTATTATTGTGTCGCGTAGGAACGACGTACTATCGTATTTTTCGTGAATTGCCTTCAAAAGGAAACGAATTTTAATATTATTCGTACATAGAATAATTGTGCTAGTAATGATAAACTGTTGGTAATTTAAATATGTACATCATACAATGATCCATTTTCGAAATCATTATCTTGACAGACGTGACTAAATCCACATTCTTTCAAAGATGATTATTACATTACGTGGCAATGGTGGAAAGGCAAGAACACTTTTCTTCTTGGAAATTGTAAAAATTTCTTTTCTGTGACTAAATCCATCATCATATTGAAGATTGAAGTCTTCCTTTTGAAGAACTTATTGTACGATTTTTTTTCAATTTTGAATATTAGACAAAAATTTCAGTAATCTTAACATTTTGTCATCTGATGTTCAAAGTTCAATAAAATAGTGAAAAAAGATTTCAATCTTCAAGACTGTAATGGATCTAATCATGAAAATACTTTTTTAATGTCTTTACAAACGTTTGAGTTTTACAATTTTTCAAGGAAAAGTATCCTCACACACTTAGAAGTGTCTAAAAAAACTTTGACTTTGAAATGAGACCAAGTTGTACGATCCCTTTTCACAAAGTTATATCAGTTCAAATCGTTGACAATTTTTCAACGACTGTTTCCAATTGGTTCAATTACGTCCTAATTGAATTTAAATTAATATCTATTCAATCTTTAATCCGCAAAACTTTTGTGATTTATAACTTTCAATTAGTCAATATTTTTCTGCTAGAACAGCGAAGGCTGTCTTCGACAGGAAGCAAAGTATCTGTACATTTCCATAAAGTGATATTGAATTTATATTCAAAGGAAAACGTTCATCGTTCGATTGGTTTTTCCTTAGGGAGCACGCGTCATTCGCTTATTGCACTTGTCTCTGTAGTAAAATACACAGGAGTAATAGCCACCCTCCACCCCTTCGGCTATCTAATTAATCGACCCATTGTCCCGTTAATTGCCTTTGAAAATTAAATCCCATTCTGCTTCGTTAAAGCTCGTTTCAAAGTCCCGATCGAGTTAGGCACAAATAACGCAAGCAATCTCGACAGTCTGAACGCTGCTCCGTTATTCTCATTTAGAAACGCAGAGACAAAAAAAAAAAAAGAAACAAAAAAAAAGAAAGAACAAAACAATTTTCTCACAGATCGAGCCACGGATTTCAAGCACAATTGTCGATTGTGAGTTAATCGTCGGCGATTTATACAAGACTAGCAGGTGTAAACTGGTCTATTCAACTTTAAAAATCGAAATAAAATCACAACTGTTTCGATTAAAATTGAAATGCAAATTTCTTTCTGTTTCGATCGAACACCCGTCTTAATTACATTAAAAATTAACGAATAATTTCTTCCCTCGACAGAGAACTTTCTTCTTCAAAAAAAAAAAAAAAAAAAAAAACGGAGTTTCGAAAACTCTGCTCTTTAATCACGTCGAAACTTATCGAGAACAATTTCTTCCTTAAACTGTTGGGAATCGTTCGAGGGGAGATAGAAATACGTAAGAAAAGGAACAAAGAGAAAAGAAAGAAAAAAAGAACAAGAAAACAGAGAAACTTACAGATCGGTGAGCTTGTGAGCGCCGGAAAACGCAGAGGCCTCGATGCGCGAGATCTTGTTCTTCCTGAAGTCTAAATGCTGCAGCTCCGGCAACTTCTCGAACAGGCCGTCCGCTTTGATCTTATCCAGCTCATTGTTGGCCAACAGTCTGGGCGCATGGACAAAGAAAGCCCGGGGAGACGAGAAAGTTAGAGTCTCTATCGTTAGCGTCCGATACGGGGCGAGCAATTAATCGCGCTACAGGGCGTCGATCCATTAAACGAGTTCGAATAATTTATTTCGAATAATAGCCCGACGATTCATTGTCCCGGTCTCTCGCTCCCGGCCTCTCTGCTCACTACGGAGAATGGCTTTTAATCAGATAATTATCTCGCCGGCCGTGTAAATTAATTTTCTCGCACGGAGACGAGGAAACGAGAAAGGGATCCGAATCGACGTTCCGGTCACGATCGACTGGATGGATCGATCTTTTCTCCTTGTACACCCCTCCCCCTCGACGTTTATTAATTAATTAACGGTTGTTCGTGCTACAACAGCGCGAATTAGAACGAATCTTTAAGTTGATCTTCAACGGTACGTTTTAATTCAATTCGACTCAATTTGCAATTCGGTCAGGAATATGGGGGAATATGTTTGTTCCCGATCGATGGGATTTTGATTGAGCGTTTGATTTGACGAACGCGCGTCTTGTTGTCGTTCAATTAAACGCTATTGTTCGATTAAATTTCAGACACACCGGCGGTTAATTGATTTAATTAAAATAAAATAAGCGCAGTGCTTAATAAGGATGTGCTCACAGGGTGGACGTGTAGATCGGTAGCTCCTTCGGTATCGTCGTTAGCTTCTTGTTCGAACAATCGACGGTCGCCCCGTTGCAAACGCACGGCTCTGGACACTCTCCGGGCAGGATACACTCGCCGGCTCTCTTCGTTAAGAGCTCCTCGTCGCCTAAGTACAAACAGCCGGATACAAAATCTACTTCAAACGATCTCTCTCGTCTGACCTGCCTTTTCCTCCTCAGGTTCACAGAGCGTCGTTCTTGAATGAGTCAGTGATTAAAGTCAAAAGCGAACGGGAACGTAACACGGTACTCTATCTACTGGAATATCATTGATAAACAGCTGGAGGTAATTTAATCGTTAAATGACACGACGAACTTCCATCGAGCCAGTGGCTTTCGGTTTTAACCTTTTGCGCCAGCAACTGGTTGACGGACCATAACGAGCGACCAAACCATATAGAATAATTCGTCTTCCTTTTTGATTTCATCAGTGTATCACTGGATAGAAATGACTAGAAAGTGATAAATTTATTAATTGGGTTATATTTCGATATACTCAAAACTGAGAAAATATTACAATTTTTCTCTTAAACAAAAAATTCTCGACTTGCGTGGGCACGTCATTCCAGCGCAAGAGGTCAACCACGTTGCGCTGGCAACTGATTGCGGACCATGACGAGTGACCGAACCGTATACAATTCGTCGCTTTCTTTTTCTTTTGAACTCGTCGGCATATCACTATAGATAGAAATTACTAGAGAAGTGATAAACTTATCATTTATTTTGCCTGGGTTATATTTCAATATACTTAAAACTGAGAAAATGTTGCAATTTTGGGCCAAATATTTCCATTCAAGCGCAAGAGATTAATCGATTAAAAACACTGCAACAGTTCTTGACTGTGTTGATAATTAATTATTCATTTCCAAGATTCGGCGATTATCGATTATCGATTGATGGAACAGAACAGTGGGATAAGACGAAGCATTGACGATTATTGGAACAGAAATTTCCCAATTTCGTCTTTGGGAGGAAAAAAAGAAAGTGACTACGAAGTCCCGTCACTGGCAACGTCGACGAATGAGAACGTGTCCTAATAAAACGTCACACGCTGTCAGCTTTTACTTACGAAATGACACGGCACTGGCACGTTAATGGCCCTCCGTTTCCGCGAGGTAGAAATTACGGTGCCGTTGCAGAGGCACTCAACTTCAATTTGTACGAAAATGCAACGCCGCGTTAAGGGAACCACGCGGGTATCGCGAGAAATCGCGACTCCCGTCAGTCGTCAAAGTCGCGAGAAAATTCATCTCGAGTCTCGATTGCCGGACCATCGAATTTGTGAACTCGAAATCGATTCGACCGCTCGATGCAGTTTCGGTGAAGTCGGATCGAGGAAGGAACGATGCTCGCGGAGAAAGTGGCCACGCGACACCGCGTGCAGCGCCGCGTTATTGAACGCGGGACGCAAATTACCGATATAATTACGCCGCGTGTATCGCGGCGGACAATTTGTAATGCGGCGTATAATGCGATGATAAATCACCGGCGAGCGCGCGCGCGCGTCTGCGCCTACTCATACATAAACATATTCACCTCGGAGCACCATGACATTCAACACTCAATTAACGTGTTTGTGTTTGTGTGTGTGTGTGTGTGTGTGTGTGTGTGTGTGTGTGTGAGAGAGTGCGGCATCGCGTCGATGCTTAATTTAATGATATCGCCGCTACTACTGTTCATTATCAAAATTTATCGCCGACCAAGTTAACATGGTAACCCGGTGCGAACAGATCTGCCGGTCGTCGATCTTCGACTTCGATTAATCGACGCACTTACGACTGTTGCGAACTTTTATTGCCGATTAAAAATTCCGAAACGAATCGTAGTCTCTCTTCAATTTTGTCAAATTTCAAAATAGCCAAGAAGTTGTTCTCTCCTAGGGTTTGCACTTGTACTTACGCGTCGTGGAACGCGGTTTAAGGACAATGCGTACATGCATACGTGTCAGTTTATTTTTCGGTGTCATTTGCTCCGCGCATAAAACAGCCCGCAGGTGGAGGAGAAACGCGATTACTTGATTCCGCTCGACTTGAGTGCAATTAGGTGAAATACGCGGGCTCGAGGAACAGGGAAAATGGTGTCGCTGTTGTTATTCTTGAACACGCGCGCCTCGAGTAGCAAGTATGTACGTTCTCTCGTTCTTTCTCTCTTTCTCTCTCGAGTATCTCTTCTTCGCCACGCTTCGTCTGTCGTCTTTCGATAAATTATTTAATAATATATATGTGTATATATATATATATATATTTATAAATTTATAATTAATTATAACAATATATATTCCTTTTTTAATAGTAATATGTCTGAAAAAGATATATCTTGATAAAATATTTATGGTATAATTTACTTATATTATTACTTGGATTTTAAAAAGAAAAAATTAATTTGCAATTAATAAGTAATTGTATAATCCAGCAGAGCGGGTTTTTATTCGACTGACGATCGAAATTCGCGAGAAAAGAAATTAGAAGTATTTGTGTCGAACTCTGACGATCGATAATTAATTCGAACAAGTCGTTGAGTATCGAAAGTATTTCAAAAGTGTATTAAAAGTGCAATCAATTGCGCGCAACTTGGCAACTTTAAATCACTGAGTCATTCCTCAACTTACAGTCATCTCACAGCGACAACGATCTCTGTTAGCCAGAAGATGGAAAATATTGCCTCCGACAGTGCCATTGTACCAACTTGCGTTCCGTGCGTTCCGGCGATGCGTTTTAGAAGAGAAGAAATCAGAGAAATCGGGTCGTGCTTACCCTTACATTTGAACTTGTCGTCCCGCATCGAATCGATCTTCCGCTTCTGCGCCCTCTTCGGCGACTCGCACTTGGCTCCCGACGTCTCGATGGGGTGCGCGTGAAGGTACGCGTTCAGCCATCGTAGATTGCAGTCGCAGATAAACGGGTTCCTTGCCAAATGCCTACGGAGAACCGGAAGAAGTTTCTTCGAAATCGCCTTCTGCTTCTCGATCGATCTCCTCTCGTCTCGTTTCCTTTCGTTTTTCCAACCCTTTCCAACGAACTTGGAATACATTTGCCACACGGCTAGTCATTTCGCGACCGACGAATGTCAGATTTCAACGTCAGAATTTAACAAGTTAAGATCGAACGTGCCTTGTGTGTGATTTTGGAAATTATTCGAAACGCGTAAACGCGACAATATTGCTTTACTATCTTTACACTTACATTTTCATTAAAATGTTGTTTCGTGTTTTTTTTTTTTTTTAATTTTCTCAATAGGCTTCTTCCGTTAGACGAATAAACAAGTAAATATCTATCGCGATATTTGATATTTTTCAAACGTTGCAATTATTCCGTATTGGAATCCCTTAATAACCTCTGGCGAGTGTTAGTGATTTTGGAAATTATTCAAAAATAATACGACAATATTAATCTATCAATGACTCGCCTAACAGTCTCAAGATCAATCTGTTAAATTAGAAAACTATTCAAACGCGACAATACTGCTTCTTTTACATTTAAATTTTCATCAAAATGTTTCGTATTATTTTCCTGACGAGCGTTTCCCGTTAAATAATCGTGTTGTTTGACATTCTTCGAACGTTGCGATTATTCCGCGACATTCACCGTTCATTCACAATTATCCCCTAATAGTCTCGAGTGAATGGTATCGTGATAATACGATTAACTCAAACAGAATCTAACAATTTGCCCATATTTTCGCGGTGCAGGCGAAAACCGGCCTGAAAGAGTGTCAATCAGCGAGCAACAACGGGGGCCGAATATTCTGTTGAGCCCCGTGGTGGTTCACACACAACGAAACGAACGTGCCACGGTGACACGGGTTTGCAATTCGATCCTGCGCAACGCGTTGGAAAGGGCTCGAAGCGTTAAAGCCGCGGTAATTTGTATAAATTAACGGTTCAATGGCGGGATACAAACAGCGTTTCAATGCTTCGTAGATTGGCGAAAGTTCCATTGGCCAGGGATCTGATGTTGTTATCGTACAGCGACAACAGAGTCAGGCTGGTCAGATCTCGGAACAGATCGGTTCGTATGCAGGATATCTCGTTCGCGTTCAGCAGCCTGAAAAGTTCGTTTTGCACCGGTCAATTTACACTCGGCCGCAGTGTATTTCATCAATTTTCCCTCTCCCCCTCGCCCCCGGTATAATTAAACAGTGTCGCCCAGTTGTAAATGTATTTCATAATCAATTGAAATTGCGTGACTTTTGCTGTTAGCCTTTAGTTGAAACTGAAATTAGAAATTTCTGAAATATCGGGTCCTGATTTTGATCCAAATTATCGTAAAATATATCTTTCTAACTATTTACTATTATATTTACGACCATGGAATTTAATATTCTTTCGTTTTGTCGCAAAAAGAATATATGGCGCAATTAAAAGAGAATACAGATGACGTTGGAAATTTCGAAACTCCTCAACGCACACAAACAATTGACACGTCATATTTTGAAATATTAACCATACAACTTCTGTATCAAACAATTTTTCATTTAGACGCGTGATGTAAAAGTTATTTCAGATGTGCAAATTACGCGAATCATTACCTGTTCATCTCAAATAAAAGGGAAAGTTCGTTAATGTTCTGAAATTACAAATTTCAGGAATATCGGGAATTTTAGAGGCTATCTTTTCCAATAGAATTCCATTTCGAAGATTCTACTCTATTCTAATGTATCTCAAATGTTCTTCAACAATTACAAATTTCAGGAATATTGGAAATATTAGAAGTTATTTCTCCGGTAAAGTTCCATCTCGAAGATTCTATTCTACAAGTCTCACAATCAGATAGAAGGAAAAATCCTGAAATTTGTATTATTGGGAATTTTAGATTGTTTCTCCCATCTCCAGGATTCTATTCTATATATATATATATGTATAGATTCTATTCTATATATATATAGATTCTATTCTACAAGTCTTACAATCAGGCAGAAGAAAAAATCCTGAAATTTGTGTTATTGGGAATTTTAGACTATTTCTCCAATAAAGTCCCACCTTCAGGATTCTATTCTATATATATATATATAGAAAGCTTGATTGTGAGACTTGTAAAATAGAATTTCCAATATATATATATATCTCAAATAGAAGGGAAAGTTCTTTAACGCTTCTAAGCGTGAAACACCGTGAAACAAACTTACAGTAATTGCAGATTGGTCAAGCCTTGGAACAATCCGCTCGGCAGCTCGGCGATCTTGTTCCCGTACAATACGCTGCAACCGAGAAAACGAAATTGCAGTCGAAAAAGACATTCGAGAATTTCGAATTTTCTTTTTTTCTTTTTTTTCTTTTTACTGTGAATATATTGCGCTTCCGTGTACGTACAGTGACTCCAACGACTTCAATCCGTGGAACGCGTCGGCCGCCACCTTTTTGATTTGATTGTTGCTGAGGTCGCTGCAATGTTGTTGCCGCGCGATGCAATAGAAGGAAAAAACAAAAAAGAGAAAGGAAATGAGAAAGATTAAAACATCGTCGTAGCGGCGAGAGGCGAAAATCGCCTTTAGCGCGCGTACGCCAAAGAAAAACATAAATTGGATTAATCGCGAACGTCACTCACATTCTGCGTAGTTTTCTGTACGGGGAGAAGGCCTTCGGCGGGATTTCCGTGATACGGTTCTGCTCCAAACGTCTGCGAATGATTGACAGCATAAAGAATAAGTTAAAAAACTTCCAAGCTCGATTTTTTTCCCGCGTAGAAATTGCCTCCGGCGGTGGGATCAGAGGGGGGGGGGGAGGAAAAATCAGATTAATTGGATTTTTATTAAAGACTGTGACAATTTTCCATCACGATGCAAACAAACACGCTCGCATCTGTCTGTGACTTGTTTTCGTATTACTACTTTATTCATTTACTCTTGTCGTTTTTATTTTCAACGTTTGCCGTTTATTCTCGTATTTCTTTTTTTTAATTTCACTCATTTGCTGCACGTCAAACTAGCCTATTGGAATTATTGATTTTCTCCTTGAAATCACATTTTATTCAGTTATTATCAGTTCTAACACGTTTTATTTTATTCAATTCGTTGTTCGATAATTCGAGTTTGAAATCGTTGCAATAAAGAATTCTACGAGCATGGTCGTGGGACATTTGGCAATTCTACGCGGAGAGCTCGTGACAAAGTAACGTGTACGAACAGTTCTGTGGTGTCCTCCGGGAGATGGGTGGGCACTTTCGTCAAAGAATTCTCTCTGCAGTCGACAATACCGTCAGCGCATCTGCAAGGATGCGGGCATTGCGGTTCCGCGCTACACTCTGATCCTGTGCGCTCAACCGGCCCGGAACACTTGAACTCGTGCTCCTGTTTGCACACGGAAAAACTACTTTTTAGCACGCGGCAGAGATCAAAGTAAAAGCGTTTCGAAAATCACACCGAGAAAAGAATTATTTTAACAACAATCCTGTCGGTTCTCTTCTCGAGCTTAAAGGCACAGCAAATCTAAAAGGAACATCCAAGTTGTCGAGCGAACCTGCAAATCGGCAATGTTTCGATCCTTCAAATGAATCGGAGAGCTGCAACGCGTGTGTTGCCCGAGCCTCGGGTAAGTTTTCAAGTGTCGAGATAGCCAGGCCAAGTGGCAATCGCAGGACAACGGGTTGTCCACCAGCTTCAACGTTCGCAAATGCGAGAAACCGTTCAGCATTTCCTTGCCCAGCATTGTCAATTTGTTGTTGTTCAACATTCTGCAACGAGAAAATTCACGAGCATGATAATGTCATAGTCACACGGGTTTAATTTATATCGATCGAGGAATTACGCTCCACTTACAGTATTTCTAAATCCTTCAGCTCTCGTATCGATGCCTCGTCGATGCAGGTTAACACGTTGTTGTCGAGTAACCTAACAACAAACGTTTGCTTGTTTCAATGCAGATCAGTAGTCTTTATCGTCGACTTTATCATGGTTAATTGCGAACAACGCAAGAGGAAAGTTTACTTCAATTCTTTTTTTTCTTTTTTTTTTTTAAGTCTTTCTTTCTACGCGAAGTGTCTAATGTCGTCTGACCAGTGCGCATTGATACTACTTCGATCGTTTCTAACTAGTTTGGAGTTTCAATTCTGACTGATGGTGAAGTTGCACTTACAAATATTTCAGAGATGAAATCCCTCTGAGTGTCTTTGGTCCGATCGTGGCGATCTGATTGTGGCTTAGGTCTCTGTGAACAAAGGGACGCGATTAAGCGTTAATCGAAATGTTACCAAAATTCTAGAAAGCTATCTGGTTTAGTATTATATTTAGCGTTCGTTAAAAGGAGTCTCGCTCCTTAAAATTTCATCTCGTTTCAATTCTAAATTATTTCTTCTCTTTTCAGGAAAATTAATCATTTTTTAGCTTCTTTTTTTTTTTTTTTTTGAAACTCTCTAAGCTTTCGATAAAAAAAAATTCAGTAACGAACGTCACTCACAGCGACGAAAATTAGGTTAACACGTTATGCAAGTTGCACTTTGTTTGTTTGCAAAAAAAAAGGGAAACGAAGCCAACGATCGATCGCGATAGTTGAAGTCGCTACACTTTCTAGGTACGTTGACCTTTCCTTATAAGTTCTCTGTCTTCGAGTTGAAGTCTCATTCTCAACTGAAGTCTGGCGGAACAGCCAGTCGTCGTATGTTCCAGTTTGCGCCGGTTGTTCTCAAGTTCGCTCTACACACGATCAATAATTTAGAAAGTAGCCGAGTGTCAACTGCCCTGCGGTTCTATGGATGACCCTCCCTGTGGAAATTCTTTAGCAAACAGAGTAGACGGCTCACGTGTGACCGCGTGCACGTGCGCCGGTCACATGGCTGCCTATAAGCTTGTTTAAGGTTTCACGGGGTCGTTACACGAGTAACGAGTGACCATTTCCACGGCCTCACGTGACACACGTCGCGCCGCTACGTCTCTGCGAAACGTCTCCACGAAGAAGATGCCACGGTGTCACTCTAGCGGAACGGAAAGCGCGACGGGCTTTGGATTAATAATTGACAATTGTAAACCAACCTGATCGACGATTGAAATAATTTCAAGTATTATATACCGTAACAACGGCCACACAAGTTATCAAGCGTCAAGCTGTTACGATATTACGCCAGTAAAAAACGAATACCGAGCTACACGGTAAATTTACAATGCAATAAAATCACAGACGCCGGTGGCATGGCGCAAAGCCATTAATGCATCGATACTGATAAATTTAAATCAACAAACCTGTTAATGAAATAACTACCGGCATCAGTACATAAAATAACTATTAACGTCCCTCAACGCGCGCGTTAACGTAATCAATATGCATATTAAATTTAATTCCAATTACCGACACTGTCATTAACTTTGTACTGTGCCGTGCGTCGATGTGCGGCAGTATTTTGATATCGATAACCCAGCCAACCACCGGGATGACATTCTTGGTATTCATCGCAAGATAACGGCGATGAATTAACCGGAAACTGTTTTCTCAACAGTGAACTGCGCTTCATCATATTTATCGTCATAATTTCACCGGTACGCGAGCACCGTGGCATGAATAATGCATGGGCAACGCAACGTTTTTCAAGCGCGACGCGCTCTTAACGGCAGAGTCAATCACGATAATGGATCCCTCCGCTAAACCGTAGTTTGGTTCATTTAAATAGATTGCGTTACGTCTCGCGAAGATCCGTCGGACAGTTCGGGACCTCGTCTTCCACGACGAAGGGACCAACTTCAACCAGACGCTCGCGATGATAGGTTAGAGGTCTCGGCGCTCGGTCCATCGTTGACCATCCATTGGCTACGAGAGACCCGCAGCCTGTAATTATGCTCGCTAGAGAGCGGCTACGGGCACGGAGCGAGCGCAGGAGTCTCGACAGGATGGACGCGAGAAACGAAAATAAGAAATAAAAGGCCTGGGGAGAAAACCTGTATAAAACAGCCTGCTGCTGTGCTTATTTCTAGAATTAATTTCGAGACTAGCACTGGGTAGTAAAGCGTAAGGATTGTGTCGAAGAAGAGTGCAAACAATGAACAGTACAAAGTTTATGATGAAAGAAAGGACGAACGAAAACCTTTGTCTCGTGCGTTTTATAAAAAGTAACCAAATCAGTAAAAATACAACGTTGTGGATATACGGGATTGTATTATATATTCCCATACGGGAGATAAGCGGATAAAGAAGCAGCTAACTCACTCGACCCTCGACAAAATTACACCAACAGCTTGCCTCCGGAATCTGTACTTTTCAGCTTGAAACAGAAACTCAAAAGTTCACCTTGTGTGAACCGTGGCTAGCTATTTTATTACGATAAAAAAAGAACAATTGCTCGCTCTCTATCAGGACACGACCAAGTTGTAATCTCAAGGATCATAACGGAATATAAAATACAAAAACTCATCTCCTCGACAAAGAAGATCTCCTCAACTTGTGGCTTGTGCAAAGTTCAATCGACAGTGGAACATATTATTGTCCAGTATTGTAAAAAATACACCGCGAATAGACTAAACATAAATCCTTCTCTGAAGGATAAAGAAACGGTCCTAAAATTAACACACTTTCTAAGACAGTCTAATTTCTACAATAAATGGTAATATTTGCTTCCAAGTTCGCTAATAACCCACACAAGTGGACTGATAAATAAAAAAAAATAAAAAAAAAAAAAAACAGAATTATATTCTGAAAAATTATAAATTGATCGTTTTGATGATTTCTAATACTAGCGACTAACTTATAGACTAGCATCGTAGCAAATCGGTCACTTGGAGAGGAGTCACCTTCCAATTTCGAAATCAAAATTTCAGACACAGTGAAACCTTCGAGCAAGACGGTGTACAATTATCCTTGAAGATTCCCGAGGAAAGATTTCCACCGTTGTTCTCTAATTTTTATCCTTTTTTGTACGTTCGAAACACGTCGGTGTACTGGCAAGTAACCGGCAGATTTCGACCGAGAGCCAATCCCGAAAGCAATTACCGAATTTCGGCCACGCAGACGTGCCGTGGAGCAAAAGGAGAAGGCCAAGCTTTTACTGCCGCCGGTTTCATTTGGAGCCAGTGTTGCAGCTTGATCATGATAAGTTCCTAATTTGAACAAGCAATTTGGTACGACCATGAGCGGAATGCTTCTATTCCGTCGACCGGTGCGATCTATAGAGAGTGAGAGAGAGGGGGAAGGGGGGCTACAAGAGATAATTAAATTTACTTCTTACTCTTTTCCTTTCCCTCCGGGTGAAAAGCAACGTGTGTCCATGTGTCGATGTAGCACTTTTGCCGGTGCGTCGTAAATTCTCTAGAATTTCAATAATTTTGAACGTGTTGCCTGCGAGACCAGTGCCGGTAGATTAAACTCCCACCGCGCGCCCAGCCAATCCAGAAAGCAATTACCGAATTTCGACGTAGCCGCTCCTTCTCGTGGCAACTAACAAAAGGTCTTCCTGGACCTATCTCGTCTCTCTCTCTCTCTCTCTCTCTCTCTCTCTCTATTTCTCTCTATAGATCTCTCTGTGCTTGTGCTCAATTTCGAATGTTGCTGTTACTGGGCTTTGTGTTACCGCGATAAGAGTCGGATGAAACGAGACGTGATTGGTGGCCGGTTTGGGGATCATAAGGGAATTGCTCGCCTTTTGTAGAACAGCGTCTAGTTTGTTATACTTTATTTTAGAATCTCGACTACGAGACTCTCCATTTTTATCTCACGCTCACAAGGATGTTTGCACAATATTTTCAATCGCTGTCTACTCATAGTTTATATCGAGAATTGAAAAAATATTGGTTAATAATTGATGCAATAGTTATAAGGGGGCGAGTTACTTAACTTAAGTTTGCGATTTTGCGACAGAATTAGAGAACTTAGATACCTTGTCCATGGTCAATGACACAAATCACTGTATATTCACGAACGGTGAGAAACTTGTGCAAAATTACATTCAATCGCCCTTGTCTATGCTCGATGCATTATTTCTATCTGTGTAACTGAATATTATATATATATATATCTATTCAATCTTTCACTAATATTCCCTTATCGAAATTTCCCCTGTATCTCTCCCATCTGTGATGTTTCAAAAATGTTTCGAAAATAATCGTACGTAGGCGCGACGATTCACTTTCTAAAATCGTTCATCGCAGAAACGTGACTCGGCATGACGAGTTAAACGATCGAAAATTTGTCGCGACGCGTTTCTCTGTCGTTTTTGAACAGAACGAAAAAACGCGCGTAGATCCTCTGCCCCCGAGAGAGAAATAAATTCCACGGAAAAGCAATATCGTACCCAGGCCGAATAAAAGCCGCCAGTTCCTTACGCAATGAAAACACCATATTTTGCCGATAAATTTCTACTCGAGCCAGGAATCGCTGGAGATGCTCGTCGAACCGTTTCGTTGTTTAAATCACCGCAACACCAGGCTTGTCAAAGGGAACCTGGTGGGTCACGTTTGTCCCGGTTATTATCAGCTTAAGTGTACAGCGAACAAATGTTATTACCTCGTAAATACAAGCTTGTACGTTCAACGGGAGGTTCGAGGGGTATCGCGTTTCAAGCTGAGAGCAATACGTTTGCACACGTCGCGGTGATACTAATCAGCCGAGTGTCCGCGCCCCTTTCCATTGTGTCAAACCATTTATTACCAGCGGAACTTCATCCTCTTACCACCTCGAACAGCTTTCTACGTTTGCGCGATGGGTTAATCACACGTTCTCGTTCTACGTTGTCCCGTCTACGTTGCCGAGGTCCCTCGGAAAACACGGCGGAATCTTCGTAGAACCGAATCCGGCGAATTTTCGTGTACGGCTAATTAATATTTTGTGCCATCTAATTGCTAGCTTGTACGGAGACCTCCCGTGGGGGATGATGCGCTGTGATTAATCAATTTCCTCGTTCGGTATGCTAGAAAAATTAGCGCGGTTGCTTTGTTCATCAGTAGACTGAGTCGATAATTACCGGGAATGAAGCTGTTATGTATTTATTTAGGTTGTAACGTTACGTGTTTCTTCTTTTTTTCGTATTTTGATTTAATGAACTCCTTTGAAGAATCGAGTCATGATTATCCTAGAAGCGACGAGTTTACTATAGCAAATTTTATAAATATATCCTGAATATATTTATAATTTTATAATTTTATAGTTTTAGATTATAATTTATAATTTTATAATTTCAGGTTATAATTTTACGATTTTATAATTTTAGGTTACAATTTTAAATTAGATTAGGCTAAGTTTCGTCTGTGGAGTAAACTGCGAGTATCAATAATAACAGCATCGTGAATGATGACATAAATGTCAGGAGAAGCGTACAGAGATATCGTTGAGACGTGATATCAAACATGACAGTGATTACTCCGTAAATTTTAACGCTTCCGCAAGCGTTGAGAGATCGAGTCCCGAGCGAGAAGAATTTATAATTAATTAGGTTTTAATGAGGAGGACATTTCACAAAGTAAGCCTCGCGTTACTAATTCCCGACGAGAGAGAAAAGCCAATCCATGTTTTTAAACTCAATAAGCTTAAGCTTAATGAGCTTAAACATAGCTCGGCTAATCTGCGCATCATTACCGCGTCACCATAATCTATCTATCCGCTCTGCTTAAATATTTTTCTCCAAAGCAAATATTTTCACTGTTACTGTGAAAGCGCTTCGTTTTATTTTCTCTGCCAACCGACCGAAAGACGTTAAAACTGCCTCGACCGAGAAAGCAATTCTTCGTCTTTTAGCTTCCGATCTTTCGACCGGTTCGTTCGTACGAAAACCGGAAGAAAATAGTTTTAACAAACGAGCTATTCTTTCGTTGATTGTAGCGTGATATGTACGTATTGCAAAGTTCAAGTTGATGCTTGTATTTTTTTTTCAAATTTGCAAATTTGAAATTTTCCACGTGCCTTCGTTTTCTCTGGCAAATGAAGTTTTTTCATTTTTAACGCTGTAGAGGCTGGCGATATTTCCCACGACTATGCGCGACTTTTCTGTGAAAGTAGCGTAGAAATTAAAGCAACTTTATTATATTATTACAACATTTGTATACTAAAAGAATTAAAATAAATAATAACAAGAATGATATTTTTAGACACATACGTATGCTTAATAATATTCTTTCACATAGTAAGATTCAAAAATGTTTCTGTAAACACTAGGGTATTTTATAAAATGTTCCCTCGGAAAAATTTTTAGTATGCATAAGAAAATGTACTTGGGATAGTCGTAAACAAATACCAAACACATTCCTTTCAAAATGTTGCGACAAACATCCCCATCTCAACAGCGCCAAACAGGTTTGTAAAAGCCAAAGTTTCTGCCGATATGTAGTACAAAGGATCATTATCTCACGTACAAACTAAAGCGAAAAATGTAAAAATTCTTTTTTACGAAAAGAACCTTCGTTAGAACGTGTTTAGAGTTTACGATATCTGCTTCCCTGGCGATACGTGATGTTAACGTGCTTTGAACGAAGAGTTGGAATTGGAATCGCTATTTTACAAATGATTTACGCACAATCGCGATACTGGCCCGTACAGTGTTAATATGTACAAATAGATAGTATTTTGAACAAGATGGGAACAGAAAACTGCTCGTTTCGCCAAGCAACATCCCCTTCCATCCATGTATCGAGCTTCTCTGGTTTCTTAGCCAGGCATCGACTTATCCACGTCGGATGAAGGATTATCAAGCGTCCGGATGCCCGTGAGAATCTCGCAACATAATACGTCCTTTTGTAAGCTGGCTGATCCCGGCCTTATCATCAGAGACTGTAGTGTTACTCTGTCCTGGGGCAGGAGAGGCCTCGAGAGACTCGTGGAACTTTCGAGTTCTCATCTGACCACTTCACAACGTGATAGATGGGCCCCGTCGTTCGCTATCTTTTTTTTTTCTTTTCTCTCCTAACCTCACTTCTACCTTTGTTTTTTCTCTTTTAGTTCTCCTCTGTTTCTCCATTTCACTCTTCCACCGTCGGTAGATATCACATATGTAAATAGAATTCTTTTTTTCCTTCTTTTTTTTTAACGGTGAACAAAATTTTCTGACCGCCCGACAGACTGACATCGCGTACCATCGACACGGAAGCTGCGTGTCCATTTGATCGTGATAAAGGTTAGACGTTAGCTCTCTCTCGTTCTTTTTTTCTTTTTCTTTTGCTCTTGGACCAGAGGTGTCCCGACTCTGGATCAGCTGATTAAGATTCAGGATCGGGGAAGCACGCCGAGGGAAAAGTGGATCTTCTCGTTAATCTCTGTGGATCGCATTCCTTCGGCCGGGCACTCGATCTTCCTCCTGGCCGGTGGCTGACTGCTTCTTGATCCGTGGTCGGTTATGATGCATGAATTTTTCGATGCTGACCTGTTGATTACAGATTAAGGCGAACGTTTGGCGCTTGCTCTCGTTTCGACGTTTCTTGGGACTTTGTTTAGTTTCGTACTGTAATATCTATTTGAAAACAGCAGGTGCTTACATTCCAGATTGTTCAAGTCGAACATATAAATTCATTTATCGAAGCACAGTACGGTTTGAAACGCGAGACTTTCCATAGCGCAACGTTGTTACACAGAGACCATCTTTCCAGAGATGCCCGCAGTTGTCAAGTAAAAGCAGAATCGACATCGAAAAATCTGTTCCACTTTTCGCGGACAATAGCCACCGGTCGTAACATCGTTCAGGTGGACAGCGTAAAAAAGAATTTGAAAAGTCGCTTTTCAAAAAAAAAAGAAAAAAGTAGGACGCGAATCCGACGGTCGATGGATGAAACTTCTGTTCGCTTTGCTCCCGTTCTTTTTTTTTTCTCTCCTCGTCGTTCTGTCTTCTTTTTTCTTTTTCTCTCTTTCTTTTTAAAGTAGAGAAAACGACTATAGGCTCGAAAACGGGCGGATTGTCTTCGAGAAAAAAAAAAAAGGAGCAGAACAATTGAGAAGAAAACAGAAATAATTAAAAGAGTACAGCATGTACATCGAAACGATACACGAGGGAGGAAAAGTCGTACGTGCTCAATACGGGTGAAAGAAGGAAAGCGGGTTTTGCGTATCGAACTATCGTACTTCCGCGTGTATGCACGTACGCGTATGTGGGCGGTATGTAGGCCAACGCTTGAAAAGTTTATGCGATCACTTTCGCGCTGCGCGCCACTCGGACGACCTCGCGCATCTATGCTCGCCACGCGTTTTAAAACAAATTCGCCAGGCCGAAACACGTCTGTCAATGACAGAACGAATAAAATAAAACGCGGCTCGCACACACTAGTGACAATTGTGTTGCTCTTCGTTCGCTCTTGTTCAAGAAACGTTCGATCGAATGGCGAGTAATACATAGAAACGTGTATTCTCCATCTCGGTTGGTTTCTCGAACAGAAATTATTTAGAATTTCGTTTCCGAGTGTTAATTACATTTCCATATGAGCCGTATACGCAGTGAATATTTCTACTCTTTAAATATTCCCTCGAGTTTTGTAACAAATTTTCCTTTTTCTTAACCAATTGCGCTGAGGGAGGCAACTGACTGCGGACCATAACGAGTGACCAAGCCGTATACAATAAATTCGTCGCTTTCTTTTTAAACTCGTCGATATGATATCACTGGATACAAATTACTGAGAAGTAATTTAACAAATTTATTATTTGCTTTGCCTGGGTTATATTTAAATATACTTAAACAGAACTGAGAAAATATTGCAATTTTAGGACAAAAAATTCTCGACGTGCGTGGCAAGAGGTGAACCCCTCTGACTGCGGACCATAACGAGTGACCAAGCCGTATACAATAAATTCGTCGCTTTCTTTTTAAACTCGTCGATATGATATCACTGGATAGAAATTACTGAGAAGTAATTTAACAAATTTATTATTTGCTTTGCCTGGGTTATACTTAAATATACTTATACAGAACTGAGAAAATATTGCAATTTTAGGACAAAAAATTCTCGACGTGCGTGGCAAGAGGTGAACCCCTCTGACTGCGGACCATAACGAGTGACCAAACCGTGTACAATAATTCGTCGCTGTCCTTTTCTTTTTAAACTCATCGGCATGATATCACTGGATAGAAATTATTGAGAAGCGACAAATTTATTATTTGCTTCGCCTGGGTTATACCTGAATATATTCTTAAAACTAAGAAAATATTGCAATTTTGGGACAAAAAACTCTTCAAGAGGTTAACGGAAAACTCCCTTTTCTAATTCACTGAGACACAATCTACGATACTTACAGGCGCTTCAAGTTCATCATGTTGCTAAAGAGTAGATCGGGCAGATGACGTATTTGATTATTGTTGAGACGCAGCTTCTCGACGCCGACTAAGTCCTGGAAGGCACCTCTTTCTATGGTGTGAATTTGATTGTTCGACAGCCAACTGCAAAAGACACGACGGACAAATTTACAACGAGGCTCGATGAAAAAAAGAGCAGAAAGACCAGCGAAAAGTATGAATTGCTGATGAATTAGATTGTTTCACACGTTGCACAGTGCACGAGCAAACAATTTTAACCCTTTGCACTCGACTTTTGAAGGGACATCTAGCCAACAGCTCGAAATTCCTTTTACAATTTGCTGATAATTATAACGAACGTCTATATTTGGTGTCGTACGATGAAGAACAAAAGAATTTCAAAAGAAAAAATTTCTCAGAGACAGTTCAAAGTCAATTGAAACTCATTGGAGTAGTTGAAAAAAATAGCAGAGGATAATACTATTTCAGAGGTTAAAACTACCTATCATTAACTCTTATATATTGTACTTGTTCTAGCAAACCCGTAATGCAACGAATTGACGATCGTTTTAAATTCAAACAACAATCAACAAAATTTCGTGTTAAATACCATTTCCAATTCTTGTAAATAAATTGCTGGTGGATGATGCAGAAAAACATTTGTCGAGGGCAAAGAGTTTAAACTGCTCGCGTGTTACAAAGAAAAAAGCGAACAAATCTCTCGACCCGGTTAACGTTAATCGCATTCGTTTCACGGCGGATCGCTCGCCGCGCAAGAAACCCGACTCGGCCTTTTTGGCGGCGAGTCACGGAGCTGAAAACAGTCGAGGAAAGAATACAATCTCTATGCGCGGCAGCGAGTTTCACACAGAATTCGACCAACTTTGCCACCGTGCCGTAACAATGGCGTCCCCGCGCCCGGCGACGTTTGCGACAAATTTACCGGAATTTCGCCTCAACTTTTCCCTCCCTTAAGAGTCGCTTCAGCTCTACGGCTCCATTCAATTCTATTCGCGAGCGTCCCGGCTAAAGCTATCCGTCCTCCCTTTTTGTTAGCGACGAGATCAAGCGCATTGTAAGTAGACTCGAAACGCAAAACTTGGAGAATTTTTAGGACACGTCGTGGCGAGAAAGGAGGAAATCGTCCGTTCCAAGTGGAGTCGAGGGTAGCGATGTCTTCTACGTCGTCGAATTGTGTCGCGTTCCAATCGTGTACGAATATTTTTATCCTTCGAGGTTCAAAAAAACATTTGCTTTGTCAATTTTTTTTTAATTCGACGAACACGAAGGGTTGTCGATTGTTTGATTGGATCTCACGAATCTTAAAAATACAGTCTTCGTGAATCTTGGCTATGGTGCCGCTTTTAAAAGTGTGTATTTACATTATACTCGTCAAACACAGAGCTGACGTGCAGCTACCGTAAAATTGGGTTAAATTACAAATATACACTGTACCAGCTTCTTTTTCAAAGATCAATGATTTTATTATTCAACTCGATCAATAATAATTAATATCGGTATCAAGAAAATATTTAGAAAAAAGAACTAATCTCAAGATACTCCAAAATTTTCAAATACCTTTTATTTTCCACGAAAAATTTAATTTAACTAACAAATTACAATTACTTTGCTTTCTGCAAAAAAAATAGAGTTGCCATACCTTCGTGACGCGAGTATACTCGTCACTCACAGGTTAAGAGGTTAAGACACGAAACTGTCGCGGTGTGAAAAGGAAAGAGAGAAATGCAAGAAATTTTCTTCATAAAATTGCTTTCAGCAAATGGAGCTTTTGATCCCGTCGCTATCTAACATTACAGTTTAACTAGAACGTAAGTCGCTTTGTTACTTGACAAACCAATACTCACAGAACGTGAAGCGTGGCCATGTCCTCAAAGTCTGTCTTGAATATCACCGAGATATTGTTCCCTTGGAGGTCCCTGAAACAAAGAGTAACGCAGCATCGTATTAATCTCCGGCAGTGGCACAGTGGAGCGAGTCAATAAAGCGCCGTCCGTCGTCGTTTGGTCGTCCGGGCAAAAATTTCATTTTCCCTCCTTTCGAAAAATCTCATAAGAATCTCCCCGTCGCAAGGATACGCGGGCGAGTTCCTTCGAACGAAGAGAGAAAAAGAGAGAGAGACAGAGAGAGAGAAGCGGTGCTTAACTGCTTCCATCTCAACTTTCAGCCCTCCGCGTCGCGTGCTTGGTAACCAACCCACCCCCTTTAGAAGCTCTCCCCCCCCCCTCGTTCGTTGTATTTATTTGTCGCGAATAAGTATTTCTGTTTTCCCCGTATTCGCTGGCGCAAATATTTGTCCTGTCGCGTGCGAAGGGAGCGCCGGCACAAAGAGCAGCAGCAGCAGCCTCGTAGAAATTTTATCGCCGGCCGGTTTTCCCCCTGGTTTTAAAACGTTGTCGTTTACGCGCCGCTCAAAGCAACCCGCCCACCGCGACGGGACGGGGACACCCCGCTGACTGTGGAAACGAGCCCATCCGACCGTAAATCCGGATTTCGTTCGATGCTTTTGTCGCGTTGTCCTTGCCGCGTCGATTTACCCTCGATAAACGCGCGACGCGTTGATAATGTCGGAGCGCGGCGGACGCGAAATTTTGCAAACGAAGACTGCCGCCGCAGTGTTGCACCGCGTTTATCTGCTTCTCGACATTTTCACAAATTCGAAAACGAGACGAATTCCACTTTCTTAAGAATCCCTTTCGAAAGATCGTCAAATTCTACGGACCGACTCGGTGATAGGAGAAAGAGAGTGGTTAAACGAAACGTCATTGTTCGAGCACCGCGGCGACTCTGAAAAGCGTGAATTTGCTCCTCTCGCGTTTCGCGAGAAGCGGAGAGGACCGAGAGGGTTAGCCGTCAAACACAGCCGTCTGCTCTCTCTCTCTCCTCTCTTTTCCACCCGTTGCCGGCAAGTTATTAAGGCCTTATTAAATTGGTTCCTTTTTCTCGCTGGAACTTTTCTACCTGACAAAAAACGGCAGAGACGCGGGAACGAGTAACGAGTCGGGCCTACTCTCAACGACTTCCTCTTTCTTTCTTTCTTTCTTTCTTTCGTTCCTTCTTCTTCTTTTTTTTTTTTCTTTTCATCCCCCACCCACCCCCATCCGGTGCCGCGGTGCTTCTTGAAACGACAACGACGCGGTGGAACGCAAATTATTTCCTCGTTTTCGTAGCCAGACAGGCCGCGCCGCGGTTCAACGACGAAACGAGAGACGCGAGGCACTGTTTTTTTCACCGAGGCTCTCTTTTAAGCCTTGCGTGAGATTTTAATTTCAACGGTGGCGGCCACCGCCTTTTTTTCGGATCCGACTGGTTGCCTTCTCTCTCTCTCTCTCTCTCTCTCTCTCTCTCTCTCTCTGTCTCTTGTTGTTTTTCCGTTTTTCACCGGCCTTTTCGCCAGATATTGTCGTCGCGCCGCTGCCGGAATAATTGCCGAGAGAGAGAGAGAGAGAGAGAGAGAGACCCGGGCGAGCCAAAACGGCGGAACGCGCCGCGAAAACCAGTCGTTTGATATATTTCCTAGTTCCGTTTCGGCTATCGAAAGGCATCTGAAAGGGGGAAGAAGGGGGAGAGATAATTCCAAGCTGCCAAACCCAAGCGGCCTATTCTTTCTGCCTAGTTTTTTCCCTACGCTTCGTAAAATACGATTGAAGCCTGATCAACAATTAGGTTAGGTTCAATTTCGTACAGAGATACTGTAGAACTTGATTTTCTCATATCAGTCAGAGTCACAGTGTTTACGTTGTGTATTAGGTAGAATTTAAAGATGCGTAACACTTTGATCAGTTTATCAATTATTTTATGCGCAATATTGAATCATTTGATTTGTCATTAAAATAAATAATTCCATGCTGCCAAACTTGGCCGACTCTTTTCGCTTTTTTTTTCTCCCCCCCCCCCCACGCTTCAAAAATACAACTGAAGCCTGATTGACAATTAGGTTCAATTTCGTACAGAGATACTATAGATTTAGGTTCAATTTCGTACAGAGGTACTATAGATTTTCTCGCATCAGTCACGTCAGAGTGTTTAGGTTATGTTCGCAAAAATACGAAGATGCGTAATGCTTCGATCAGCTTATCTATTTTTATCTATTCTTCCTTTTCCTTTCATTTGAGCTTTGGAATTTGAGGTTTGTCTACAGCTATGTATCTGTAGAACCAAATAAAATAACAGAGGAGAATTAAGAATATAAACTTTTGTAACATTGAGGTTTAGGTTAGGTTTAGGTTAGCATAGTTTAGGTTAGATCTTTGAGAAAAGTGCGGATGTAATAATAGGCCGGGACATCTGGTTTAGCAATTATTATATCGACTTCCAGGGCCAATATTACAATCAATATTAAACCATTTGATTTATTGTTAAAATAGTTTGATAATTGCTTAAAGGATCGCTGTAATATCAAATAGTATGATTTATTACTAAAATAGTTTGAATAATTCGTAGAAAGATCGCTTTATCGGTCGAATTCACGGTTGCAGTGTGGCACGAGAATTGTGGCGCGAAATACGAGAGAATGTATAATATATGCTACTTTACCCAATCAGAGATTTCAATGGTAATCGCGATATTTAGGGGGAGGGGTGAAAATGCAATTTCTCTCTCTCTCTCTTTATGGAAGGACGCGATAATTTAGTAGTTGTTTCGAGAGCAGAAAGCTTCAGGATTGTTTGCAACGGATGATAAATCTGGACAAATCGGCTTGTATTTTTGGATTTGCATCACTCCTGTGCTAGCAGCGATCGTTCGCCGTGTTTGCCCAAATGCAATGCGAACGAAATCGATAAATTTGCGAGCTATTGGGTATTTGGGTTAGAAGGGAAGGCAAGCTTTCCTCGATCGATGGGGATTTAGGTAAAAATAACGCTGGCAAAGGATAAAAATAAATTAATAAAATACTTGGGAGAAGGTGGAGTCTAGGAGAGGAACGCGAAACAAAAACTTCCGAATTTCAGCTTTCAAAATTATTCAGGGCGTTGAAGCTTGAATTTTCAAAATTATCATTCGAGTTGGAATCGTAGCACGTGCGTGAGAGAACACCATCCTACGTAAATCGAGTATCATGTTTAAAAAGTCGACTACGAGCCAGAGAAAGTGTCATCGTGACGGAAACATCAGAATAAACAGAAAACCCTCCCTCGAGAGAAAAATAGAAGAGAAAGAAATTAAAAGGAGAAATAGTGACAGCAACGACGATAAAAATAAGAGAGTGGAAGCGATGCGCATTTTAGGCTCTATCTCTTAAATTGGGAGATCGAATCACGAATAGTCTCTGGTGTAACGTTCGTAATCGTGGCATCTCGTTGACGATGGCTAGGAACGGTTTAACGGAAGAGCAGCAAAATGAAAAAAAGAAAATAAAAAAACGAAAACCGAGAAAGAGGGAAAGAGACGGAATGTAAAAAAAAAAAAAACGAGAGTGTCCAACAGGATGCAGGATACAGAGAGAGACAGACAGACAGACAGAGGCAGAGAGAGAGAGAGAGAGAGAGGGAGGGAATTTAAAATGCAAGCCTGGAGCATTTCGTCGATGGAGAGGAGCACGAGTGCAAAGCTAGGCGGCAGAATCCTCTTGATAATCGTTAAATGAAAAAAGCGTGTTGACGGTGGGTAAACAGCAGCGTGAAAAAAAAGGAATCTGTCGAAGCGGCATCGGTACGTGACATCGATCAACACTTGTTTTTCGCGTCCACCTACGCGTGTGACTTTTCGCTCGCCGAGGAGTGTCCACGCTAGTGGAAATCGGCGCCCGAAAAGGGCAACGCAAACTTTTCCGTATTTACGTTTTTCCAATTTCCAAGCTACCTCGGAAAAACTGTGCAATTTCCTCTCGACAAGGGGGAGGGAGGGAAAAAAAGGATTTTTGACAGAATTTCGTATTCTCTTTCGAGGGAGTCTGATGAAAACTTATCAACTTCGGGAAAGGTTATTGATTCGATAATAATTCGTTTCTCTGCGTGGATAATCTGGTTGACAGACGAATGACAAAGGGTTTAGTGAAGGGTTAGGTATAGTGAATTCGTGGAGTTACGCGAGATGCGGTAGAGGCAGAAAAACTTTTCAATGGTGGCTTCGTTACGCTGAATACGGAAAATATGTATCGACGAGAGCTTTAAATTGTCCAGGCGATGGGGATTAATGAAACAATAGCCAGGAATCGTTGGTACGTTGCGGCAGGGATTTTTCTTCTTTTTTTTAATGAATTTTAGAACTCCTCTATTGGAGAAAATATTGGAACGTAGGTTTTTAGACTTCTCTGCCCCGCATCTGGCAAACAAACAGACACATGACAAAAACTGTGAAAAATCGTCCCGAAAATTTTCTGAAATCATTTTTTAATAGAAATTTCCGAAAGAAAAATTTAATCTCTCTGACCCTCGGAATAATCTTGTTAAGAAGCGAGGCGAGATTTTGTGCAAGTTAATTCCAAGAGAATAGGTAACGATTTTGAAGTTTAACCCACTTATTGTGCCGCCTGCCTGCTTTTCCAAGTTAGATAGTTAATTGAATACCAAAGGCGACTTTGACTTTCGGCGGAGATAAAAGGGAATGGCCAATGACCAAAAAATGAGCAACTCCGTTGAAAGTTTCTTTAAATAAATCCCTTGATAAGTAAATTGCAAAATTCTCCTTAATATCAAAACTCTCTTCCAAAGTGTACGATAAATTCTCTCTCTTGTTTCTTCTTTTCTCGATGAAAAAAAGATGCAGTTCCCTGCAGATCGGTAACTTGCGGATTCCATCGCAACGTACGTGATTCATATCGCCGAAGAATATTCTTTCATCGATTCTCTCGTCGATATTTCAGTTTTCAGCTAGACGTATTACCGATTTAACAGCTGGCGATGCCTCTTCCTCCCCATTTCCCTCCCCGAAGCTTTTCAATCGACGTCGAGGAGGACAAAGTGGCGTAGGATGATAACA